CTTCACGAGGTCTCCCGTGTACTCAAGGACTTCCTGCAGGACGCCTGCCGAGGATTCTACCAGGACGGACGGCCGGGGGGCCGCAGGAAGGCGGTGAGCGGGGCTCCAGGGAACGGGGGGGTGAGACAAGGGCCACAGTGGGAGGCCGACGCCCATGTCCTCCAGGAGAAGGGCCCGGCCAAGCAGCCCACAGGCCAGAAGTGGCTGCTGGACCTGAACCAGAAGAGTGAGAACCCCTGGCGGGACCTCTTCCTGTGGGCCGTGCTGCAGAACCGCCACGAGATGGCCACCTACTTCTGGGCCATGGTGAGCCGAGGCCGCGGGCCCAGCGTGGGGGCGGGGGAGGGACGGCCTCCTGAGACCGGGTCTCCTAGGGCCAGGAAGGTGTGGCAGCCGCTCTGGCTGCCTGCAAAATCCTCAAAGAGATGTCGCACCTGGAGACGGAGGCCGAGGCGGCCCGAGCCATGCGCGAGGCGAAGTACGAGCAGCTGGCTCTGGGTGAGTGACCGGCCGGGGCCAGGCCCGCGTGTCGGGGGAGGATGTGATAGAGGGTCAGACAAAGGGTCCTGGGCCTCGCCAGGGCTGCTTGTTACCGCTGTGGGGCTCCAGGTACCCTCAGTGGCCTCCTCTGTAGGAGAGGACAGACGGCTCTGCCTGGGGTGGAGGCAGCCCCAGACCCTGAGTGTGGGACCGCTGGGCACGTGGTGAGGAAGATAGAGCCTCACGCCCCAGGCATGCACTGGGCCCTGCCGCGGGACAAGGGACATTCAGGGCAGCGGAGACCCCCTCATCCTGCTGGGGGAGGGAAACAGCCAGAGAAGGACAAAGGGTCAGGAAGAGTCCAGAGCAGGCCAGGCGGGGGCAGAAGGCCTGACTGGGCCCTGGGAGGTGAACACAGGGTGCGGCCACAGACCCCAGGTCTGGGCGGGGGATGGAGGAGGGGCGTTGGGGGCGGGCATCGGTGTCTTGTCCTAGCGGCCAGGGTCTCCGGGGGCAGACCTCTTCTCTGAGTGCTACAGCAACAGTGAGGACCTCGCCTTCGCCCTGCTGGTGCGCCGGAACCGCTGCTGGAGCAAGACCACCTGCCTGCACCTGGCCACCGAGGCGGACGCCAAGGCCTTCTTTGCCCACGATGGCGTGCAGGTGAGTGCCAGCTGGCCTGGGGGAGAGCTGCCAGGGGGCAGGGCTGGCAGGCGAGCTGGGCCCAGCTTGAGTTGACTTCGCAGCCTGCGGCTGCCCTGTCACTCCCATCCCCAGCACAGGGGAGCGGGGTGGGGCCTCTGTTCCTGGAAGGCGCCCCCCGGCTTCCTCCACCAGGCACATTCCTGCCTCTGGGCTCAGCGGAAGTGCCACTTCCTCCTCTCAGTCCTTCCTGACCACCAAGCCCAATCTTTTCCCTAGTGAAGGGCACAGCAGCTCAACCCACACCCCTGCGATGAGCGTCCCGAGGAGCATGTCCCCCACCAGGACAGGGGCTCCGGGAGGGAAGGCTGGGCTGGGCACCCCTTCAGCTCACGTGGGCCAGGCACCTGGGCATTCCTGGGGCAGGGCATAGCCTGGACGAAGGTGCAGAGGTGGGGCCAACAGTTTTGCCTTCACCTCAGGCCTTCCTGACCAGGATCTGGTGGGGGGACATGGCTGCGGGCACGCCCATTCTGCGGCTGCTAGGAGCCTTCTTCTGCCCTGCCCTCGTCTATACCAACCTCATCACCTTCAGGTGGGTCAGGCCTGTGGGCTGCCTGCTGGCTGGGGCAGGTACCAGTGCATGTGCTGGAACCACAGGGAGGGCCTGGGCCTCGCTGGTGCTGGTGGCAGCCTGACTCTGTAGCCCCCAAGTCCAGACTCCCTGCAGGTCCCACTCCCCACAGTCCTTGCACCCAGTGGGCACTTTGATGGCCAAGCGCCCGGAGCCATGCAGGCGCCTCTGGGAGTCCTTCCTGCAGGCCCTGAGCTCTCCTGTGCTTGCAGTGAGGAAGCCTCCCTGAGGACAGGCCTGGAGGACCTGCAGGAGCTGGACAGCCTGGACACGGAGAAGAGTCTGCTGTGCGGCCTGCGCAGCCGGTGCGAGGCGGAGGGCCGGGCAGAGTGGAGGGGACCGGTGGGTGGTGGCTGGGAG